TTCCCCTTCCTCTTCCCCTTCTCCTTCCCCTCCTCTTCCTCCTCCTCCTCCTCCTTCATCACCCAGGTTGGAGTGCAGTGGTGTGATCTCGGCCAGGTTCAAGCGATTCTCCTATCTCAGCCTCCTGAGTAGCTGGGATTACAGGCACACGCTACCACACCTGGCTAATTTCTGTGCTTTTAGTAGAGACAGCGTTTCACCATGTTGACCAGGCTGGTCTCAAATTCCTGACCTCAAGTGATCTGCCCACCTCGGCCTCCCAAAGTGCTGGGATTATGGGTGTGAACCACGGCATCCAGCCTTGTCTCCTTCCCTTCTCCTTCTCCTCCTTCTCCCTCTCCTTCTCCTCCTCCTCCTCCTCCCCCCCCCCTCCTTTTCTTCTTCTTCTTCTTCTTGACATTGAGGTCTCACTATGTTGCCTAGGCTGGTCTCAAACTCCTGGGCTCATGTGATCTTCCTGCCTCAGTCTCTGAAAGTTATAGTATTACAGGCATGATCCACCGCACCTGGCCATTATAGCTATATTCCGCTCCTTCTACCCAGTCCTTTTAAGAGGGTTCAGTTGACCTGACAGCTTTCCTTTCCATTTTATTAGTTTTGCCTTGGATGCTATCTATGAAATTATCTTTAGCCCTACATTCAACCACCTTTAATCCATTCCATCTCTCTGCTATACACAATAAAAACCCCCAGCCTCCAGCTTAGATTCAGCACAAGCCCTCACTTGTCTAGGGAGCTAGCATAGATACTAAAAGCCATTAACCAACCTATAAAATATAGCAAAAGAAGACATGGCAAGAAAGCTACTAAGTTCATTTTCTGACATTCTAGAAAATATATTTTTGATCCAAAGAGAAGCCATTGATCCACCCTTTATCTAGGACTGCAAATATTCCATATATCCTATCAAAACAGATTGACCTACTGCATGGCCTGCCACCACGCCCACTGTATCTCTTTGGTACAAACATCTGTTCCAAACTGAGACAACTAGGTTGTCTTTACAGAGAAACGAAAATAAGTGTCTGTGTGTGCCTGGACATCTAACAGGAAACTGCAGCAGCTATAGTCTTTAACATGGACTAAGCAGCAGAGAAAGTGGGCCTGCAGAAAGTCAAGAATTAGCAGACGTCAGAAGGAAGTGGAGATGAAAGAGACAGACATTCTGCCTGAGTCTCTTGCAGCTTCCTCTTTTATTTATTTTGTTTATTTATTTATTTTGAGACGGAGTCTTGCTCTGTTGCTCAGGCTGGAGTACAGTGGCATGATCTCCGCTCACTGCAACCTCTGCCACCTGGGTTCAAGCAATTCTCCTGTCTCAGCCTCCCGAGTAGCTGGGACTACAGGTGCATGCCACTACACCCGGCTTATTTTTGTATTTTTAGTAGAGGCAAGGTTTCACCATATTGGTCAGGCTGGTCTCGAACTCCTGACCTCAGGTGATCCACCTGCCTCGGCCTCACAAAGTGCTGGGATTAGAGGCATGAGCCACTGTGCCCGGCCGGTGGCAGCTTTCTCTTTCCCGGTTCAAATACCTTTCTGAAGCCAACATCATTCCTGTCTGTGGATTCCGTAAAAACACTCTGTATCTTTAGAATAAGTGCTCTCATCTTTTAATATCACCCTACCTGAAGTTTTTTTCAAAGAATCCTAACCAACACAGATACGTTAGGTCTGAAATGCATATCCAACATCTAAGAGAAGTAGTTGGAAATGCGGGTCCTGAATACAGAGCAGAGATTGGGGGAAGACATTTGATATGGGTAAGGGGGTAACTGAAGTCACCGGAGTACATGAGGTTGCCAGAAAAAGCCCAAAGTGAAGGAAAAAGGCGGGAGAGGGAGAAGAAATGAAGGATGGATCTCTTAAGATCTTCAGTATTGAAGAAATGAATCATAGAAAGAGGAGTCATTGAAGAAGATTAAAAAGAACAGAAAATTAGGAGAGAATGCTTCTGTGGAAGCCAAGGAGTAAGAGTGTTCAGGTTGTGCTTACAGAAAATTCAGTCACGGCCAGGTGTGGTGGCTCATGCCTGTAATCCCAGCACTTTGGGAGGCCAAAGCAGGTGGATCACTTGAGGTCAGGAATTCGAGATCAGTCTAGCCAACATGGTGAAACGCCATCTCTACTAAAAATACAAAGATTAGCTGGGTGTGGTGGCGCATGCCTGTAGTCCCAGCTATTCAGGAAGGTGAGACAGGAGAATCGCTTGAACCCAGGAGGCGGAGGCTGCAGTGAGCGGAGATCGAGACACAGCAAGACTCCGTCTCAAAAAAAAAAAGGCTGGGCACGCTGGCTCACACCTGTAATCCCAGCGCTTTGGGAGGCCGAGGCGGGAGGATCATGAGGTCAGGAGATGGAGACCATGCTGGCTGACACGGTGAAACCCCGTCTCTACTAAAGATACAAAAACAGCCAGGCGTGGTGGCGGGCGCCTGTAGTCCCAGCTACTCAGGAGGCTGAGGCAGGAGAATGGTGTGAACCTGGGAGGCAGAGGTTGCAGTGAGCCGAGATCGCACCACTGCACTCCAGCCTGGGCGACAGAGCGAGACTCCATCTCAAAAAAAAGGAGAATGACAACTAAAGTTAGATGACAGTGCAGTGGGGTGGTGGTGAGGATGGTGGGGGTGGGGGCTTGGATTTAATAATCAGGAAGTCCCTGACAGTCTTATCAAAAGCAGTGGTATATACAGAGAGTATGTTAAGGGTATATAAGCCTCCTTGAAGACTAACTGGTAGATGAGAAGTGATAATAGATCGTCATTTCTGATATTTGAAAAGGAGAATGATGGAGAGGTCAACAATCTGAAGGGGAGGCGTCATGGAGAGGTGTTTTGCTTAGTTTTAGAATTGTAGATAATTAAGCATGTTTATAGGCTGAGGAGCAGAAGCCACTGGAGAAGGGGAGACTCAAGGTATAAAAGGTATGAAATAAAAGTCAACTGTTGGGGAAAAGCCCCAAAAACATAAATGGAAGGGGATTAAACAGAGCAACACCTCTTCCTCCAAAACAGGAAAGGAAATAAGCATGAATACCGATATCAGAATTTGGGATGTGCACAAGAAAAAGTGGAATTGTTGAAATTTTTATTTTGGTAAACACACACTCTTTATTTTTATTTTTATTTTTTGAGACGGAGTTTCACTCTTGTTGCCCAGGCTGGAGTGCAATGGCGCAATCTCGGCTCACTGCAGCCTCCACTTCCCCGGTTCAAGCGATTATCCCGCCTCAGCCTCCCAAATACTTGGGGTTACAGGCATGTGCCACCATGCCTGGCTACTTTTTGTAGCTTTCTTTTTTTCTTTGTTTTTTTGTTTTTTTGTTTTTTGTTTTTTTTGAGACGGGTTGTCATGCTTTGTCGCCCAGGCTGGAGTGCAGTGGCGCGATCTCAGCTCATTGCAACCTATGCACCCTAGGTTCAAGCGATTCTTCTGTCTCAGCCTCCCAAGTAGCTGGGATTACAGGGGTCTGCCACCGCGCCCGGCTAATTTTTGTATTTTTAGTAGAGACGAGGTTTCACCATCTTGGCCAGGCTGGTCTTGAACTCCTGACCTCGTGATCCACACACCTCGGCTTCCCAAAGTGCTGGGATCACAGGCGTGAACCACTGCGCCCGGCCAGTTTTGTAGTTTTAGTAAAGACGAGGTTTCGCCATGTTGGCCAGGCTGGTCTCGAACTCCTGACCTCAGGCGATCCGCCCACCTCGACCTCCCAAAGCGCTGGGATTACAGGCGTGAACCACCGCGCTCGGCCTAAACACACACTTTTAAACTGTTTAACTTTTTAAAGATAAACCTTGACATCACTATTACTCAGTTTGAGGAAAGGCACAAGAAAGTAGTAAGATCTCACCAGATTTTTAAGTTCTGCTTTGTTTGCTTACATCATTGATCAGACATGAGCTAAGAAACCACCTGTTCGCCTTCTGACTTAAACAATGGAGACTAAGGAGAGCTGAAACTTTCATGAGCATCTCAACATTTCCCCTGCTTTTTTTTTTCTCTTGCCACTGTCCCCAGGGTTGGAGGGCCCCAGAGGGTATGCGGATGATACTTCGAGTTTCTCACTCTTCTCATAGCAGTGAAGAACAGACAGTGGGAGCAGGCAGCAACAGCCAGAGCCCTTGCTAGAAGCACCCAGAACTGGCTGTGCAAATTTATTTCAATCCTGCCCAAAACTCCTTCACCTTAAAAAGCCTTGGAGATGGCTCTCATCAAGACAAGAAAGCAGGGTGCAGTGGCTCATACCTGTAATCCCAGCACTGGGAGGCAGAGCCAGGAGGATCGCTTGTGGTCAGGAGTTTGAGACCAGCCTGGGCAACACAGCAAGTCCCCATCTCTACAAAAGTTTAAAAAATTAGTAGGTTGTGGTGGCCCCCGCCTGTAGTCCCAGCTACTCAGGAGGCTGAGGTGGATGGATTGCTTGAGCCCAGGAGTTCGAGACCAGCCTAAGCAACATAGCGAGACCACGCCTACAAAAAAAAATTTTTTTTTAACCCAGGAAAAATTAGCCAGGTGTGGTGGCGCACACCTGTGGTCCCAGCTGCTTGGGAGGCTGAGGTGGGCAGATCTCTTGAGGCTGCAATGAGCCGAGATCTCACCACTGCACTCCAGCCTGGGGGACAAAAAAAAAAAAAAGAGGAAGCAAAGCAGTGACCCAAGTTATGGCCTCAGGGACTTCCAAAATCAAAGCCCTAATCTGACGAACCCGCCCTGACGCCTGTAAGAAAACGACTCTCACTTTTCATTGGCTGACCCTCCCGGAGTTGAGACCTTGCTTCATTTTCCTTGGTTGTTGCTGCTGTCACGTCTTCTCGCCGCGCCCACTTTCCTCCCGGTGCCCAGTGAGCGTTGAGGGAGAATGATTTGCAGCCGGTCAGGGGCGGGAGTTCGCGGCAGCAAACCTGCTTCCCCCTCCCACGCGCCACCGCCCCCGCCCCGCCCCCGTCCTGAGGCCCCGCCCCTAGCCGGGCCTGGCCCCGCCTCTCTCTCCCGAGAGGGCGGGCACCAGGCGGCGGCCGCAGCCGCAGGAATATGCTGGAAGGCGGCGGGCAGGCGCCCGCGAGGTGCTGAAGGGACAGTTCCCGCCGCCGAACTTACCCCGCGGGTGGGGCGGCCCAGGAGCCAGCGGGGCACGTGAGCGATGGAGACCATCTGGATCTACCAGTTCCGCCTCATCGTGATCGGGGACTCCACCGTGGGCAAGTCCTGCCTCCTGCACCGCTTCACCCAGGGCCGCTTCCCCGGGCTGCGCTCCCCCGCCTGCGACCCCACCGTCGGCGTGGACTTCTTCTCCCGCCTGCTGGAGATCGAGCCGGGCAAGAGGATCAAGCTGCAGCTCTGGGACACGGCGGGACAGGAGCGGTTCAGGTAGGGACCCCGGGGACCTCGGGCACCGCGCCGCCCCCTCGGCCCGCCCGGACGCCTCTTCCCCAGGCGCCCGCCCCGCCGGCCCTGGTCGAGGGAGGCTCTGGCCCTTCCCTCTCGAAAGTGCAAACACTCCATTCTCGCTTCCCCTTTGCCCCTCCTCTTCCAGGGACGACTTCCTCCTCCGCAATTTCTCACTTCTTTCTTTGGCGCCCATTTCCTGCGCCCCCTTTCCATCTTTCCTTTCCCGCCTGAACTGGGGTCTTCCTCGCCCCCCCCTTCCCCAAATCTTTCTGCCCCTGTGGGTATTTTGATCCCCTTCGACTCCCCGGCTGCCTTCTCCCCAAACTCGGCTTCCCTGGCTGCGCACAGCCTGACCCGACCACCCTCCTCCAAGCAGGCGCCCCTTTTCCTGCCCTAACCCAGTGGCTCCCACGCTGTGTGGCCGGGGAGAACCGAGAGGGAGGGTTCCCAGATTCGTGATGGATCCTTTTGCAAGGAGCGCTCCAAGCCAGGTTCCTGCATGAGCTCACTGGGCATGGTTCACAGAGAGGTGTATGCGGTAATGGTTTGGGCACCTCACAGCACTGAATGTGGTCATCAGAAATACTGGGTCATGACCCGTGGGAATGGGTCTTGTAGGTTAACTAGATGCAACATCAGGGACACTGGCACGGCAGAGGGTGTGTGTGTGTGAAGGGTTGAGTTGTCTTTAGAAGTTTGTAGTGTTCGGTGGGAAAAAGACATATATTGAGATTTGCCAGGAACTTTTATTTTGCTTATGATCAGTACTTAACGTTCCAGGGTGATAATATTTCTAAAGACAGAAGGAGGGATCCAAATGAATAGTCTCCTCCTAAATATTCACTGGGGACATGAAGGGCTTCACAAAGGCGACTCGTGTAAATAAAAAGTAAATAAAATTATATGCGTTTCCTGAATATTTGAGATGGAAGCAGGTTTAAAGCAAATTTTAAATGTCTAGGATTCAAAGGCACTTCGTTTTAGAGGAAGATGGTGAAATCATGTTGCACTGTTTTGTTTCTTAAAGACTGCATTATCCATTGGAACTCATTTAAGGAAGCATTTTGCATTAGTCAGCAAGTACTCTGTGAAATGCAGTGTTCCATGAGGGGACTTCCCAAACATGGCTTCCCCTCGCCCCCAGCCAGCATCACTGCGAATGAGATCAGCCTACATCTGTGAGAATGGTCCAACATTCAAAGTTTTGGCTTCCGTTCCCAGCAATGATGCTGATTCATAGAGATAATGAGTGAACTGCTTAGCTTGCTTATACCTTAGTTTTCCTGTGTGTGAAGTGGAAAGATGGTAAGGCCAGCCCTTCAGAGAGGTGTTAAAAGATTATTGATTGGATTTGTACAACATTTAGAATTCCATGAAAAATGTTTTTCCTTTTCAAGAAGCCTCCTTTTATTAAAATACTTTTTCAAAGGTTTGATTCCTCATCTGTAAAATGAAAGTCATTATGATCTCTAACATTCCTTCCAGTTTTACCATTCTAAAGTTGATTGCCAATTCCTTGACATGTGATCTCAATCAGAGGTAAACTTTGCAATACATCAGGCTCAGAATAAAAGCATTTACTGTTAGCTCTCGACCCACCCTCTGAAGTGAATACAATATAAACCTTTATGTCTTAAACTTCTAACAGCTACTTTGAGTTGCAACTACAAGAAACGTGGGTAGTAAAATCTTGGTGTTTAATTATTTCCTTAAAAGTAGCTCAACTGGCCGGGCGCGGTGGCTCAAACCTGTAATAATCCCAGCACTTTGGGAGGCCGAGACGGGCGGATCACGAGGTCAGGAGATCGAGACCATCCTGGCTAACACGGTGAAACCCCGTCTCTACTAAAAAATACAAAAAACTAGCCGGGCGAGGTGGCGGGCGCCTGTAGTTCCAGCTACTCGGGAGGCTGAGGCAGGAGAATGGCGTAAACCCGGGAGGCGGAGCTTGCAGTGAGCTGAGATCGGGCCACTGCAGCCTGGGCGACAGAGCGAAACCCTGTCTAAAAAAAAAAAAAAAAAAAAAGGTAGCTCAACTTGGCTGGGTAGGGTGGCTCACGTCTGTAATTCCAACACTTTGGGAGACCACGGCTGGTGGATCACGAGGTCAAGAGTTCGAGACCAGCCTGGCCAAGAAGGTGAAACCTCGTCTGTACCAAAAATACAAAAATTAGCTGGGCATGGTGATGCGCGCCTGTAATCCCGGCTACTCAGGAGGCTGAGGCAGGAGAATCGCTTGAACCTGGGAGGCAGAGTTTGCAGTGAGCCAAGATCATGCCGCTGCACTCCAGCCTGGGTGACAGAGCCTGACTTGGTCTCAAAAAAAAAAAAAAAAAAAAAAGTAGGTCAACTTATTGACAAGAAATTAAAGGATAATTAATTTGTTAGACTTCAAAGACCTGTATGCTAAATAGATGATATAGATGATTGTTTTTTAACTTTTCTTTTTTTTTTTTTTTTTGAGACGGAGTTTCGCTCTTGTTGCCCAGGCTGGAGTGCAATGGTGTGATCTTGGCTCACTGCAAACTCCGCCTCCCAGGTTCCAGCAATTCTCCTGCCTTAGCCTCCTGGATAGCTGGGATTACAGGTGTGCACCATCACACCCGGCTTATTTTGTATTTTTAATAGAGACAGGAGTTTCCCCATGTTGGTCAGGCTGGTCTTGAACTCCCGACCTCAGGTGATCCACCCGCCTCAGCCTCCCAAAGTGCTGAGATTTCAGGCGTGTGAGCCACCTTGCCTGGCCTAAATGATTGTTTTTTAATGCCTTGAAGAAGAATGTAAATAATAATTCATTTTATATACATTATTAAAACCCAACAGTAACTCTCGCATTATAATGCAACGACATTTAGGGAATGTTTACTGACAGTGAGTCATACTTTGTTTTGTTTGGCTCTTTACCAAAGTTCTGTTTGTAAATACATACATATTTCAGTAGCTACCTCCAAATACTTGCTTTTCTCTCATTTACCAGAATGTTTTCCATAAGATTGCATTTAAAACAATTACTATTAAATCATTCTGTATCTTTCGTCAAGAAATTACAGATTCTAATTTTGAATAATAGATACCGTTGCATATTTTATTTTGTAGAAAGGTACTGTATATCATGAAGATGTATTCCTGTCATTAGTCATAATCATATCATGAAGAATTTGTGGGAAATGTCATATTTGAAGGTTTATTGGTGATTGGATGTAAACCTACAAAAAGGAACCTACTTAGACAGCTCATGAGGTAGCTTGAGAGCATAGTAAATGTGTTACAGAACAATAGGATAGTGAGTTTATGATTATGATCATGATTAGCCTTTGTTTTCTTTCTTTGTTTCTTTCTTTTTTTTTTTTTTTTAAAACAGGGTCTGTCACTCAGGCTGGAATGCAGTGGCACAATGTTGGCTCACTGCAACCTACACCTCCCAGGCTCAAGCAATTCTCCTGCCTCAGCCTCCCAAGTGGTTGAGACTACAGGCACACGCCACCACACCCAGCTAATTGTTGTATGTTTTTTTGTGGAGACAAGGTTTGGCCGTGTTGCCCAGGTTGGTCTGAAACTCCTGGGCTGAAGCAATCCACCTACCTCGGCCTCCCAAAATGCTGGGATTTCAAGCCTGAACCACCGCGCCTGGCCAGCCTTAGTTTTCAATGTTCAGAGTAACATGCGAATAGAGGATAACTACTTGCCTGAAATAAAAAGGGACAAAATCAAAGTGAAAAAGGTTTAGAAAAGGAATGTATATGTGAGCATATCTGTAGATTTGTATATTAAGGAAATTTAGAATTACAGTGCCTTCATTAAAGATGGAAGTTTATTTTTCTCTTGTGTATAGAGTGGTCCCAGTTGGTGGAGTGGTTCTGCACCAGGCCATCATTAGGTTCCTTCTCCCTTCATTTTCTGCCATGCCTAGGATGTTACCATCATCTACGGGAGCAAAGCTGGGTTGTAAGCACACTGTGTGGCAGGGGAAGAAGAAAGAGCAGCTCTAAACCAAGCAAAGTTTCTTTTAAGCAAGTGAGGCCAACACGGTATAGATTCTTTCGGCTCTCAATTGACTGGGGAGAACTTAGTTACAAGGAGACACTTAGACTGGGCCACTATGTGCCTAGGATGTAGGAAAGATGCCTTTGGCATTGTGGGTGTTGAGGGAAGCTAGTAATCATGTTTTTATAATTTTTGGTTTTCTTTTGTTTTTTGAGACAATCTTGCTCTGTCATCCAGGCTGGGTGTAGTGGCCAGATCTCAGCTCACTGCAACCTATGCCTCCCAGGTTCAAGCAATTATTATGCCTCAGTTTCCCGAGTAGCTAGGACTACAGGTGTGTGCCACCACGCCCAGCTACTTTTTGTAATTTTAGTGGAGATGGGGTTTCACCATGGTGGCCGGGCTGGTCTCGAGCTGCTGGGCTCATGTGATCTTCTTACCTCAGCCTCCCAAAGTGCTGGGATTAGGTTAGCAGTAGAGGAAACGAGAATATTATTTAATACAGTGTTAATAAGGATAAATATATTGGAAGAGCTAGGTGTACGGAGAGCATTAAAGGTAAGAATAGAAATTTTGAACTTTTCCCATAAAAAGCATTTAAAGTTATATGACTATAATATGAGATAAATACATAGCGATGTTAGCTATAGGAATAGGAAACCTCTAGGCTTTGAACCAGGTTTGGCCTTTTATCTGATGTTGCCTGGCCTTTGGGGTGTTAATGTCCTCCTCGTGCGGTGTTCTCAAGGAATGCTCTGCAGAAAACTCATTCCTGTGATTATATATATACATTTTTCTTTCTTTTGAGATGGAGTCTCACTTTGTCACCTGAGGCTGGAGTGCAGTGGAACGATCTCGGCTCACTGCAACCCCCGCCTCCCAGGTTCAAGCGATTCTCTTCCCTCAGCCTCCCGAGTAGCTAGGATCACAGGCATGCGCCATGGCACCCGGCCAATTTTTGTATTTTTAGTAGAGATGGGGGTTTCATCAAGCTG